AAAAAAAAAAAGAGAGAGAGAGAGATGCAACATGATTTGTAAGGAGAACATTTCTTATATGACAATAAATCATAAACAGCTCGTTTCTTTTATTTTATTTTTTTTCATATTGCGATATGCATTTCTATTAGGTCCGAAATTAGATAAAAATTAAGGTAAATAAATAATCAACAAAATATGATAGAATAATTAGCCCCCTTGCACGTAAAAGTACTGGTGGCATCATCGTAAGGGTAGCTGTAGGCCGTCGGGCAAGCCTTCTTGAAATACACCGAATAGTTGCTCGGCTTACACACGCTGGGATTGTTGTACTCTCCCGCACAACAATACCGATCCTCCCCGAAAGCCAAGCACGCGCTTTTACACGCCACCACTTTCCCGCCACTGTTTTCCCGCAAATTTTCGGGGCAGTCGGGGTTCAAGTTTGACCTACAGTCGACCGTGGAGCAGTCGCCCGACCCGCCCGAGGGCACTATGGAAACGGGGAGATTGAACCCGTCGACGAGGCTCACGTCGTAAAAGTCCTGCGGGCTGTCGAGAGTGAACTCGGCCAGGGACACCGGAGGAGCTCCCCCGTTGCCGTTGCACGCGAGGCGGCCCCCGCAGTCCCCGGTGGTGCAATTCCCCTGTTGGCCCGAATTGTCGAAGCTGCAGCCCGTGCGGGCCCAGAAGCGGCCCGACCACCCAGTTGGCGCCAGGGCGTTGGCCGATTGGCCCGGCTTCAGCTCCAGCCCGCCGTTCATCAGCGGAGGTTTTCCGGCGCCGGTCAGAATTCCAGGCCATATGGTTTGGCTGCATCTGTTATGCAATGTGAAATTCGCAGCGTTCGAACATCCTGAGAAAACGGCTAAAAACACATAAATATTACAAAACTGAAACAAATAACTCGAAATTATGAAGACACGTGAAATAGTTTATATCTACTTTTAACGGACAATTGAACGAAACCTGTGAGGAAAGCTAGGACAGAGGCAAAGAACAAAGGCCATGATGCCGCCATGATTATGGGTTAAATGGAACAGAGAGGAAGCTCAAAAGTACCCAAAATGAGATGAAATTGTGAATGCATTTATACAGTTGGTAGGCGTCGCTGTACTATTTACTGGACTTTATTTAATATGGAGCGATGATAATTACACATAAAATGGAAAGTACGTGAAAGCGATAAGATTAGAATAGAATTTAGGCGAGGAACAAGAATTGGAAAATGGAGTGAATTGGGCAGAAACAAAGAGTGTGTCATAAATGTTTATAACTTGATGTGTTTATAGGTGGTGTATTGGTAAGAGCCTTTCCTAATTGATTATAAACAGAGTGTGGTGTACAGATGGGGTGTTTTTTCCACACAAAAAAATGAGTGTTATAATATTGGAAGATGTTAGCGGTCTCGTTACGGAACAATTCCGTCGGGGTTTGTAACCGTTAGATCAACTGTCCATGACAGTTACATGATGATATAACGGTTATAAATCCCGACGAAATGATTCTGTAACGGGACTGTAGCATTTCCAGATATAATATTAGGTATCCCTAGGGATGAAAACGATCGGAAACGATCGGCATAGGGCTCAACCATTTCCACTTTCATATTTTTTTCTCGAAAACGAAAATGATACGGTAGTGTCGGAAACGGAAACGACATCGGTATTCCGGTAATATCGAAAACGAAACTATCCGATCGAATATACATCGATAACGATCGAAATATATTAAAACGGTATTTAAAAAACGATAAACACACCACATTATAAAATATAGTATTAAAACATTAATTGAAATATTCTCATGGCATAATAGTAGCAAAATTTAAATTAAAATCCACACCATTTGCTATAAGAAAATCCATACAAATTCAAATAACTAGCAATTGAATTGTGACTTGTCCACCAAAGTGGGGTAGGCGGCGGCAGCTGGAGCCTGTAGCGGCTGGTGCGATTGCGACGTTGATGGGAGTGGGGCGCGGCAGCGACGAGCAGGTGACGGGAGTGACGACGAGCAGGCGTGGCAAATTGCGATGGCCGTCGGCCGATGGAAGAGATGACAGACTCCCAGACGAGACTCGAGAGTGAAGACCGAACGGGATGAAGGGGATTTGGGCACTGTAGATGCGGTTGCGACGGTGATGGGAGAGGGGCGCGGCGGCGACGAGCAAGTGACGAGAGTGGCGACGAGCAGACGACGAGCAGATGGGAGAGACGACAGACTCCCAGACGAGACTCGAGAGTGAAGATCGAAAGGGATGAAGGGGATTTCAGGATTTGGGCACTGTAGAAGGGTTGGGCTAAATGGGATTTGGGCATTTGGCCCATTTGGGATTTGGATTGGGCTTTATAATTTAAAGTGAGCCTAGTATATGTTGGGCCGGTATTACTGACGGTAAAATACCGTTTAAATACGGTAATTTTCGAAAACGATCGGAAAATGGCTAAACCATTTTCGTTTTCATTTTCGAATTTTTTTACCGTTTCCATTTCCGTTTTACCGGTTACCGTTTCCGTTTCCGTTTAGCCTCCAAATCCGAAAAAATTTTGAAAACGATTCCCGGTAATCGGAAATTACTGTTTCCGTTTTCATCCCTAGGTATCCCACATTTCCTATATCAAACTTTAACGATTTTGAGTTATATCATATTCTAACGATTTTGAGTTAATCGTCTATGAGAAAAATGTATAAAAGAATTCGGATAATTCGTAAAGGTAGGGCCAAAACTATAAACAAATTACATCTAATTAAGGAGTTTTGTCTTTTAAACACCAACCATTTCCAATCACATCCACATATGTTCATATTACATTCTACTTATGAACATCTATCCTTAACACTTGTTTTGTTGATATATTTAAATGTGAACTTATGTGCTTCACTTTAATATAGGTAATAAATTCCATAAAAAGATATATAGATATAAAGTTACCCCTCGATGGCGATGGCGAGCGATGGTGGCTCTGGTCTGATGGTCACCGAATATGGCGCTGCCCTGAGATGAAGGGCAGTGGACCCGGGACTAGGACTCCGTTGAGGATGATAGACTCTAGCTTCGATTTTGGGTGAGTTCAGGGATGTGCTCCTGACTCATATTGTTATGGAATGAATGGATTATTCCTTGATAAATATAAAAAACTTCATATAATTTTCTAATGTACTGTGCTAATTGAATAATTGAACTGATTGAATTGTTTGTTTCATGGTGTTGTAGGAATTTTTTTTATAAGAGTTTTGGTATTGACTTTTGATTGCTTTGATGGTCGAGATATTGTACAATTGCCAAAATTTTGGTCGTATTAATGAAATGTGGAATGCTAATGAAGTGTGTTAGACAAGCGATCGCCAACATTACTTATTTTGGGGTTAAGGACTATTTATGTGATGTTGGGAGTAGATTTATGCGAAAAGTACGAAAACACAAAATTTCATCGATTTGCTGTGAGACCGACGAGGAGAAAGGTTCTCCGGTATGAATGACTAGTAATAGATTTTTGCAGTTACAATGGTGCATGTAGAGCAGGCTTTGTGTATGCCACTGTGTAGTTTGTGATGTTTGTGTTACATGTTTGGTATGTACTTAATTGAGGTGTCGGTCAACTTTATACAAGGAAAAAACGAAATGATGATTGTGAGCCACCTTGATGGATAGCTAAGGAGAAGACGCGTGCAACCATGCAAAAGTTTATCTTTTGAGGATGGGACGTATTCTTGTAGGCCTGCGAGAAATGATCGGTCTAGGCGGTACGACTGGACCTATTGAGTGGTGATATCACCGTATTCAACGACTTTACTAGTTGTAGCATCTCAGAGCGTGTTCATTTGCTGCAGAGTGATAGGCACTCGTCGACGATCACTCTGATCGGCAATAACTAATATAGGCGATTAACACATTGTGTTGAGTCGGATATAATACTGCTTTTTGGGCTATGCTCAGGAGCGACATGTTATGGAAATAATGGGCCAGGCCTCTGTTGTAATCTCATGGGTCTCTTAGAGATGCTTAGCAGGTGTATACAACAAGATGAAAGTATAGAAAAATGATATTAGGGTTCATTCATAGGCTGTGGGAAGAGAATGGAATAACTATAAGTTGAGTAGTCACAATCTTCTATCCTTCATGACCCACGAGATTTTTTCTTTGTTACCGACATTGTGGTTGTGTATGTTGATTTGAAAACTGCCTCGAATCAGGTTGAAACATGGTTTCACGAAAAACTATCATCTCGGAGCTCTGATAACCTACAAAATGTCGGGGAGGAGTCTTGAAGGAAAACTTTCGGTGCTCAATTTTGTTCTTTGTTCGTGAGAGAATTGGTAACATATATGTTGTCTTGTGTGTGTACGCAATGCATAAAATAGAAGAAACCGGTTACCCTTAAATACTTAGGGTATCTTGATGCCCAAGAGAGTTCTAGTTAGGAAAGAAATCCTCTCGTATCTACTAATAGAGTCAAGTAGACATGGCCATTTGATGGGCTAGATCCGTACCCAGCCCAGCCGGGCTTGTCGTCGAGCCTAAAACACGTACGCGGAACAGACCCAGATATAGGTACGGGCCAGTTCGCAGGCCCGACGATTCTGGGCCAGGTCGGTGAACCGACGGTTCACAATAAAATAAAAAAATTAAAAGTGAACCCCCAGTGCCGGTTTTGGCCCGACCCAGCCCACCGATTCAAAAGTTCATACAGGAGGACCATAACAGGCCCGATTAAACTACGAGCTCCGGTCCAGGCTTGTTGACTGTTTGTCTAATTTTTGTTGTGTTTTTCTTGTTTGTCTTGCCTTTCCTTTTCTTTTGTTTTAGGTAATTTTTTTTTTGACCGTCTTGTGTTTTGATGTGTGTTTTTCTTCATTTTGGGATTTTCGATGTTTTCGTTTGTGTTTTTTTTTGTTTTCTTCGTGTTTGTGTCATTTTTAGTGTGTAGGTCGGCAGCTTCGGGCGGAAATTATTTCAAGGAGAAATTGATCGTACGAGTGTAATTAAATAGAAGGGTTCGTTGGTGACGAGCATGAGAAAACAGAACTCAATTTCGAGTTCAAACGAGTTCAAACGAGTCCGAAATGCAAAGTCGCGCATAGCAGTCGCACGCCTCGTCTGCAAGGCCCGTGCCCGCTTCCTGCGACCTACGGAAGTAACATAGGCCAGCAGCTCCCAGCATTCCTAGACTCGCGGCCCATGACCGGCATGAGACGCGCCTCGAGACCGAAAAGAACCACGCCCCGCAAAAAGAACCAGCAGCTCCCAGGCGTCCTAGGACCCTGATAAAGAGTCGTGTATCTTGACTCAGTTTGTGAATTAATGCGTGCTAACAGCCTTCTCTTAAACACGATAAATTGTGACGGAAGGCACTCTAAGGATTTTTTTCAAACACGGTTGTGTTAAAACCCGCATTCACGACCTAGTTCTAAACAGGCGAGTATTGCCCAAGTAGGACATCTTCTTATTAATTCTTCAATGATAAATTCGAATGACAAATACAAGTATTTATAGAGACTTATCCAAGTCTAATCCTAAGAGAACTAGAATTCTAACCTATGGAAGCAATATATCTAGGATCTAATTGTAAGAAAACTAAATATGTATGCTACTTTATCTTAAAGATCCCAACATAAGTAAACTCTTAAACAAAATAGGTAACAATAATTATACTCCTAAAAATGCTAAGCAAATCAGCCAGCTGTTTCCACTTTCCAATAGTCTTGCGCACCAAGTTGTTTTGGCCAGCTCGTGTGATCACGCGTCCAACCCGCATACTCCTCCGCGTGCTTGATCGCACGCAGCCTTAAGACCGTTACCATTCTCTCAGTTTGCCAGGCTCAATCTCATAAAACCCAGCCCATGCGTGCTTCCTGGTCCAGGCCCATCCATGTGTCAGCCAATGGTATGCATCCACTTTGTGTCCGTCCTCGAGAAGATCGACCGCGAGCGCACGTACTCGTCCCATTGCGTCTGGCTACATGTTCCTCAACCCTCTCCCTGTGGTAGACCCTCGCGCACCCAACCCTCTCGCCTTG